ACTTTCTTTTAATTCACCAATTTACCACTTTGGGGTTCTTCTCCATTCTGTCATGGTGCTTCATTTTCTTCTGCTACCATCTTTCAATAGTCCCTACATTCCAAGTCTGCGGATGACGAAGCTCTTAATTTTGTTGGTCAGTAATGTCCTTATTGCACCTTCACTTATAAAAATATTTCTGCTGGAGTTATAATTCTTGGCTAGAAATATTTTTTATACTTTAATAACATTGTCCTGTCCTCTTCATGTTCATGCTATTGTTCTTTTTTTTTTTAATGAGAAGTTGGCTCTGTATGTGTGTGCGCACAATTTCGAATGTGTGCATGTATGTGGATGTTCATATGGAGGCCAGAGGTCAATATCATGTGTCCTCCTCTATTCTCCATGGTATTTTGTTTGGTTGGTTTTGTCTTTTTCAAACAGGGTCTCACTATGTAGACTAGGCAGGCTTCTGACTCACAGAGATCTGCCTGGCTGTCTCCCAAATCCTGGGATTAATGGCCAGCACCATCACAACTACTTCTACCACAAGATTGTGTGTGTGTGTGTGTGTGTGTGTGTGTGTGTGTGTGTGTGTGTGTGTATGATACTATGAAAGAACAGCAAGTGACGTTAACTGCCAAGGGCTCTCTGCAGCCCCATGCACCTTATTTTTTGAGACAGTCTCTCACAGGACCCGGAGCTCACAGATTTGGCAAGACTAGCTGTCCAGAACACATCAAAGACCCTCCCTCCCATCTCTGTCTGCTCAGTACTAACTCCACAGGTGAGCCACCATGCTTGGTTTTTTTTTTGGGTGCTGGGGATCCAAATGAAGTTTTTTGTGCTTTCTTGATTAACTAATCTCTGTCCCCATCCCAGGGTCTCTCTCTCTCTCTCTCTCTCTCTCTCTCTCTCTCTCTCTCTCTCTCTCTCTTTTGGTAGTTCAGGATAGTCTTGAATTTACTTTGTAGTTTTTCTTTATTTTTATCTTACTTGTAGTTAATTGCACTTTTCCTATTTGGCTTTATTGTCTCCTTTTTTCAATGCTGGGACAGACTCTAGGGCTTTGTGTTTACTAAACAAGTGGTCTACCGTTGAACTAAATAATTAACTCTTTCTCCTCCTTTATTGTTGTTTTGCAGTGCTAAGGATTAAACCTTGGGCCACATACTTTAGTCCAGCACACTACCAAATTCTTAGCTTAATTTTTCTTTTTATATTTACTTATTGTATATGTGCACACTCAGGACACTGTATTAGTGTGGAGGTCAGAGGACAACTTGTGTGAATTGGTTCTCTTCTTCTACCTTGTGGGTTCTGGGGCTCCAACTCAGGTTGCCAGGCTTGCCAGTAAGAACCTTTACACACTAAACCATCGCACTAGTCCTTCTCTCTCTCTGTCTCTCTTTGTTTTTTTCAAGACAGGGTTTCTCTGTGTAGTTTTGCGCCTGCCCTGGAACTCACTCTGTAGCCCAGGCTGGCTCGAACTCACAGAGATCCTCCTGCCTTTGCCTCCCAAGTGCTGGGATTAAAGGCGTGCGCCACCACCCAGCGTCCTTCTCTCTCTCTCTCTCTCTCTCTCTCTCTCTCTCTCTCTCTCTCT